TAACTTGTATAATATTGTTACATTATCCTAGTCTTTGTTGATCATTTCGTTGTCTGTTCTGAATAACTTGTATAATATTGTTACATTATCCTAGTCTTTGTTGATCATTTCGTTGTCTGTTCTGAATAACTTGTATAATATTGTTACATTATCCTAGTCTTTAATGTTTAATTTGTTGTCTGTTCTGAACACTTGTATAATATTGTTACATTATCGTAGTCTTTATTGTTTATTTTGTTGTCTGTTCTGAATAACTTGTATAATATTGTTACCTTATCCTAGTCTTTATTGTTTATATAGTTGTCTGTTCTGAATAACTTGTATAATATTGTTACGATTGTTACATTATCTTAGTCTTCATTATTTATTTTGTCTGTTCTGAACACTTGTATTATATTGTTACAACTGTTATATTATTCTAGTCTTTATTATTTATTTAGTTGTCTGTTCTGAATAACTTATATAATATTGTTACAATTGTTACATTATCCTAGTCTTTATTGTTTATTTGGTTGTTTGTTCTGATCACTTGTATAATATTGTTACATTATTATCCTAGTCTTTATTGTTTTTATTTTAATTTACTTCAACCTTATATTCTGTATTTTAATTACTTTTTATAAAATGTTTAAACTTTATAAAGTTCTGTACCTAATAATTTACCATGTTCAATATAGCTTGCTGAAGATATCTATATTCCAAAACGTTCAAGAATTAAATGTTTGTTACTGTACAGACACGTGTCAAATGTTCGTTCTTGGTGCTGCTGTCGTTCATCATTAAACATGGAATGAATATGTTACTATCTCAAAAGCTGAGTTAAAATGATGGTATTTATGTACCTGATCTTTTAACTGTGGGTACTCAAATAAAATCTTATCAATGATTAGTTTTAAAAGTAAGATGAACTAATAATCTTACTAGAACATTAAAATCAATAGGAATTCAAGTTACGTTATGTTGTAATAGTGACGGTGTAATAGCAGCCAGAGCAAAGTGATCTGATCTGAAACTAGAACTAAACAAAGCACCTGAAGAATTTAGACGGTGACACACTGCAACGAGAGTGTTTGCTTTCGTGTTATTTTATTCACAACTTTCAGTTACAATGAGGACAAGAATTTAAAGCAATTGAAGTGAACACATTGTTATCACATAATACTTTATATCAACTCAATACGTTAATAGCAGGGATCATTTGATATATAAGGGAAGACTTCTGTTTTTACATGATTTTCCACATATAAAGTTCTCGGATATTTATTTCACTAACCAACGAGATATAAATTGAATCATTCCATAATAATAATAATAATTATAAGTGATTTCTACGTAGTAACATTTAATTATACAATTAAAGTAGTATCCCTTAACATTGATTTTATTCCAACACGTATGTGCACATGAAGATGATGTGCTGTGGTGGTGATAAATCTGTAAACTTAAATTTAAGAGTATTAAGTGTTTAGGTTGTGGTAAAACTGTAGTTTTATTTTGATAGTATTAAGTGTTTAGGTTGTGGTAAAACTGTAGTTTTATTTTGATAGTATTAATGTTTAGGTTGTGGTAAAACTGTAGTTTTATTTTGATAGTATTAAGTGTTTAGGTTGTGGTAAAACTGTAGTTTTATTTTGACAGTATTAAGTATTTAGGTTGTGGTAAAACTGTAGTTTTATTTTGATAGTATTAAGGTGTGTAGGTTGTGGTAAAACTGTAGTTTTATTTTGATAGTATTAAGTGTTTGGTTGTGGTAAAACTGTAGTTTTATTAACGTAGATCAAAGCGATATTTCCAATTGATACAATTACTATCATTCGTAATACGACACTAAAAATTAAGTTTCTCCCTAAAATATTACATTTTCTGGGAATTCATATGAAAATGATGTAATTACTCTGTTAAATTAAAAAAGGTTTAAGTAACTGAAGAAAGTTGGATGTCCTAAAGTTAAAACGAGGCTGTTCGTCTTTATATCCGTGTGACTTCATTTCGAACAAAAGGACAACCGAAAACTAGAAATTAAAGCATTACCTATGTACCGAACCAAGCACATCACTTTGTATTACAGTATCAATAATTTATGTTGAGTTATATCTGACTAAAACTGTATGTAAATAAAGCTGTATACATATAAAATATACATCAATGTTAATCCAACACTGGGTTTTATCGTTAAAATCGACACTTCTTTTACTAAGATCTTGGAACATTTAAAAATAACGATTAATACATTTTATTCATAGCACTACCAGATAAACAGCTGTCTTAAGGACTAGAAGACATTAGCAGTTTGTACCAGACAAACAGTTGTTGTAAAAACTACAAGACATACTGTAGTAACAGACAAACAGCTGTCGTAAGGACTACAAGACATACAGTAACATAAGACAAACAGCTGTCTTAAGGACTACAAGACATACAGTAGTACCAGACGAACAGCTGTCGTAAGGACTACAAGATATACAGTAGTATCAGACAACTAGCTTTCGTAAGAACTACAAGACATACTGTAGTACCAGACAACTAGCTGTCGTAAGGGTCCTTACGACAGCTAGATGTCTGTTACTACTGTATATCTTGTAGTCCTTAAGACAGCTGTTTGTCTGTTACTACAGTATGTCTTGTAGTCCTTAAAACAACTGTTTGTCTGGTGCAAACTACTAATGTCTTGTAGTCCTTAAGACAGCTGTTTGTCTTATGTTACTGTATGTCTTGTATTCCTTAAGACAGCTGTTTGTCTTATGTTACTGTATGTCTTGTAGTTACTGTATATCTTGTAGTCCTTAAGACAGTTGTTTGTCTGTTACTACAGTATGTTTTGTAGTCTTTACGACAGCTATTTGTCTGTTACTACTGTACATCTTGTAGTCCCTAAGACAGCTGTTTGTCTTATGTTACTGTATGTCTTGTACGAAGACATACAGTAGTAACAGAGAAACAGCTGTCTTAAGGACTACAAGACATACAGTAGTAACAGACAAATAGCTGTTAGAAGGACTACAAGACATACAGTAATAACAGACAAATAGCTGTCTGAAGGACTACAAGACATACAGTAACATAAGACAAACAGCTGTCTTAAGGACTACAATACATACAGTAGTAACAGAGAAACAACTATCTTAAGGACTAGATACATACAATAGTAACAGAGAAACAGCTGTCTTAAGGACTACAAGACATACAGTAGTAACAGACAAATAGCTGTCTTCAGGGCTACAATTTTTCGAGTTGACTGTTAAAAACCATTATCATTTGTAAAGCGTGTAATTGATATAAAAATTGAATAATTATATAATCATAACACATATTAAGTTTGACAAACAACTCTGTTAAGAAGCGTTACAACAACATGATGAGGGCTTAACCGATTGAGCTTTCATGCGAGTGTCAACAACAACAAAACGTTTGATCTACGACAAGCTAGTTGAATTACGATATCTACCTTAGTAGTTTGCGATAAAACTACTTTACAAAGTTTCCAAATAAAAATATCCTAATTAGGCCTAACCATTTGCGATAAAACTACTTTACAAAGTGAATCTGTATATGAATGTACATTATAAATTACTTTAATCGCGAAGCTGTAAACTTTATTAAAGTTTCCAAATAAAAATATCCTAATTAGGCCTAACAGTTGGTTTAAGATGTACTATTGACGAAAACAGTCAATTCAACAGGCTTGATCCAACTAAAACTAAAGGTTTTTACCGGTTATGTTTATAATATGAATAATTTCTAAGCTGCTACACATTTTTTTATAGTGTAAACAAGACGTAATTAAATAGATATTTTATATTTATGGAACGCTTAAAAATATTTTCCAGTTAGTCATTACAGAAAGCACATATCAGATATTTTACATTTCTTTCAAAATTGGGTCCTCAAGTAAAAGTTCATATAGTGCATCTACTGTTTTTTAACATATTTCAATAATTTATGCGAAATAATAAAACAAATACTATGAAATCAATGGAAGTGTATTTGGAACTTGTTTTTCTAAAATAAAAAAATCAAAATATGAAGAATGCTAAAAAGCTTGTCTACTATCTGATCTTTAATACATATTTTGTGGACGAATAGTAAAACAATTGCAATGTGTCGACCCCTAGCAGTTTCTGTAGGTATTAGAAAGCACTATTCTTCCTTCTATAGTAAACCTGAATAGAAATGAACGAAGCATTATCACAGATCAACTACGAGTCCCCAAGCTCGAACTGGATTGGAGATTTTCTCATTTCAATCATCTGCATGATGCCATTCTCCTGTGGTACCTCCATCGCGGCCGGAACATAGGTCGTTCCAGGGATACATTTGGAACATTGCCGACGAAGAGCAGGACGATGGCGGGAACCACGACACCTCACGGCGAACCTCAGTTCCTCCCCCATCTCCGAGCAAAGTGATTGCTTAGTAGAGCAAAACAAACAGTTCTGTTTCTTATAATGAGAAAAAAACTTTGATTGCAAAGACGTAACTAAACGTTTAGTTTTGAACATTTACAAGACTTAACTTCTTATAATATATAATTTAGTTAAAACCTGAAGGTTAATGTCATTAGATTATGTTACTCATTTCAAAGATAACACTTATATTTGATATTTTAAGAATGTACAGTGTATATTATTTTAAATTTTTATTAATATAAGAAACCTCACCCGATCAGTTTGGGCATTTCGCTTGGAATTCCAACAAAACTCGAGAATTGACGTCATGATGGCGATAGCCAATCCACACAGTAGTACCACAAAAACCCCTCCAATACTCTCCACGCCTAATGAATTCGCTTTCCCTTCCTTTCCTTTTTCTTCTCGCATACACGTTGAAGCGGAACCTTTCCACCACTTATTGTACAGTATTTGTATAACTCCTTTCTCTTGGAGATCAAGGATCGCTAATGATATTTTATCCCGCCAGGGAGAGCCTGAATGAAACGAAAACAAGAATGCTTTGTTCAAACGATTTGGATTACGTGCGAAGTTTGGTATTAAAATCGGTTAGTTAATGTAATATGACCATAGTTTCTAAGTCATCAACACGACTGGTAACAATTATTAATATGAATACTTACAGTTATTAAAACGCTATTAATAATTTTAAACAAGACCATTAACAGTTGTTAACGCGTCTTTTAACAGTTCTTAACAAGTTTATTAACACGACTGTTACAGTTGTTATCAAGGCTATTAACAGTTGATAATACAGATATTAACAGTCATTATCACGATTAATTAAGATTCCTTAACACGGCTATTAGTGATCATTAACACAACTATTAACAGTCATTATCACAGTTGTTGATACGGCTATCAACATTTATTAACCCGGCTATTAGCAGCTTTTAACATGACTATTAACAGTCATGATCACGACAGCTAACAGTTTTTAACACGACTATTAGCAGTTACTAGCACGACAATTAACATTTGCTAACATGGCTGTTAACAGTCATTATCACGACTATTAAAATCTGTTAACACGGCTATTAAAAGCTTTAACACTACTAATTACAGTTATTAACACGACTTTTAACAGTTTTAACCTTACTATTAACAGTCCTTATCACGACTATTAACATCTGTTAACAAGGCTATTATAGTTGTTAGTACGACTTTTGACATCTGTTAACAGGGCTATTATAGTTGTTAGTACGACTTTTAACATATGTTAACATGGCTATTATAGTTGTTAGTACGACTTTTAACATGTGTTAACATGGCTATTAACAGTTGTTAACACGGCTATTAACAGTTTTTAACACGACTATTAACAGTTGTTAATCAAACTTACCTATTGGAGTAGCAATTCCATATCCTTTGGAGTCCAGAAGTCCACCGACTTGGGTAAGGTTACAATTCCGTTGAACCATGTAATCCAACACCGTGGACTCCATCAGAAACGCATAATTTCCTTGGAGGACTCGTTCGACTCCTTCTTCGTAGGAGCTAACAAACACGGAAGGACGATTCTCCATAAACCGCCACATCTTCTGATAGGTCTCGATCTTCGAATCCTGATAACACGTGTAACATTTCAAACAATAAATGTACACTATTGGTTGAAACAATCTTATTTTCCACGTATGTCTACAGATTATACAGTGGAAGTGGTTGGAGAGAAATACAGAACTGAGATCCTCTTTAATCTATATTTCATAAGTTCTATTAAGCCTTACAAAAGACAATAATCTTTCTGAAAGTAGACGAAAGAAGTAGTAAGGAATTCAGTATATCTAGCTTGTGAGGTGTAGCTGTAACTACGAACTTTGTTTAGTGACTGAGACAGTGTGTTTTCTTATAGAAAAGCCACATCGGGCTAGCTGCTGTGTTTACTGAGGGGAATCGAACCCCTGTTTTTAGAGTTGTAAATCCGAAGACTTACCACTGTCCCACAGAACTGAAATACAAATTTATTAAGCCACTGCAACATCACAAATAAATGATTATTTAAAGCATAAAATAAAATTATTTGTGAATCAATAACGTTACATTTTTTATCGGATTTAATATTTATGATACTTCCAGGTTCATTGATGTTAAATTAAATTTGTATGCTAAGTCTAAACGTCCTAAAAGTTTTAAATAAAATTGAGTAGGAAACATGTGTCTACGTATCACAAATATTATAAACTTTTGTGCATAACATATGTTTTTATTTTTTTATAAATAGTTTTCGTTGTAGATTTTGATTTAAGAATCATTTCAAAATTAAAAACGGATAACAGGTCGAACAGTGTTTGATTAGTAATTGTTATTGGCTTTACTAACACATACTTCTGGCCTGGCATGGCCAGGTGGTTAGGGTACTCGACTCGCAATCTGTGGGTCGCGGGTT